CTAATGGGGTCACCATGAGTTGAAACTGACTTGATGGCAGCTGGTATTTGGAGGCTTCATTTATCTGGCTAAGCCTGTGTCGTAGTAAAGGTTTTGTGTCAATTTGACTGGGCCAGGATTCTCAGTGAGAGCTAATATAATGTAATCAACTCTATGATGAGGTTGGCTAGGAGCAGCCAATCAACTGAAGGGAAGCTTCCTTAGGGGTGTGGCCTGCTTCCAATATATTAGCCGTTCAGGTTAATTGATTGGTTTCTAGGGGATCTGGATCTTGCATCTGGCTCCTCCTCCAACCTCTGGTTCTCTGGACTTGAACCCATGGCCTGATGTATTACCTGGCGATCTGGGAGTCGCCAGCAGTCTGTCAGCTTAGCTGCTGGACTTGCATGCCTGATGGTCTGATCTGCTAATCTTGGTCTCTCTGTCCTACAGCTATGTGAGTCAGAAGCTTCCAGCCTGACTTCTGACCCACAGACTTGGGATTTGCCCACCTTTCCAACTGTGTGAGCCATTTCCTTGACATAAATCGCGCTTTACACATGAGGGTGAGTCAAAAATTATCTGCACTCTGGCTAGCTTCAAATGCCCATCCACATTAATGTCTGATAACAACATTAAGCATGCATGTGAAATGATTCTGTCAAATAGATGAGTGGCAGTGAATTATGTGGCAAGTCATTTGCAAATCAATCATGGTTCTGTCTATGAAATCATCCACAGCACACTTGGTTTTCAAAGTTTGTGTGAGGTGGGTACTGAAATAACTCACAGAAGAGCATAAACAGAAGCATTTGGACATCTGCAAACAAAATTTGGACCGATACTCACAGGAAGGTAAATGTTTCTTAAAAAAAATCATTACTGGTGATGAGACATGGATTCCTCACTATGAGCTTGAAAGTAAAAAGCATCCCCAATTAGGTCCAAGAAAAAGTTCAAAACTCAACCATCATCTGGAAACCTGATGCTTACAGCTTTCTGGGACCCTCAAGGGCTAGTATTGGAACACTCTCAGGAAAAAGGTTCAACCATCTGCTGAAGCTTGAATTTTGGATTAAAGGCAGAGGACTGCTGTCCAAAGGCATTATGGTTTTGTATGCCGATGCACATCCACACCCCAATGCCCACACTGCTGACACTGTAAAAATGTCATTTTCAGGTGTTAAAACATCCTCTCTTTATTCCTGATCTTGCTCCATTGGACTTTCACCTGCTTGGTCCACTGAAAGTAACCCTTTGAGGACTAAGATTCATCTCTGATGAAGAAGTGAAGACAGCGGTGCATTCATGGTTCACAGCTCAGCTGAAAACATTTTTAAATAAGGCAATCCAAAGGCTTGTTGACAGATGACAAATTGTATTGAGAAGCAAGGAGATTATGTCGAGATAATCTAGTCCTGTCTGATAACATGTCCAAAGGATGTGAGCTGAAGTCACATCATGCTTATTTCTAACGACCACTCCAGAGAACTATACTCCTCCCATGACAGACTTGGTTGTTCTTCTGGCAGTCCATGGTACTTTCAATACTCTTCACCAACATATTAATTCACATGCATCAATTTTTCTCCTGTCTTCTTTATTCACTGTCCAGCTTTCACATGTACACGAGGCAACCGAAACTACCATGACTTGGATCAGGTGTACCATAGTCCTCACACTGACATCTTTGCTCTTGAATACTTGAAACATGTGAACACTTGAAACAGGTCTTTGGCAGCAGATTTGCCCAATACAACTGGTCCTTTGTTTGCTTGACTCCTGATTTCATAAGCACTGATTGTGCACCAAATAAAATGAAATCCTTGACAACTTCAATCCTTTAAAACATCAATCATAATGTTGCTTATTGTGCTCATTGTGAAGACTTCTGTTTTACACTGAATTGTAATCTATACTAAAGACTGTAATCTCTGATTTTCATCATCCTCTTCACTTTCAGAAAGCAAGATTGCGCCATCTGCAAATCGCAGGTTGTTCATGAGCCTGGTTGTTCCAATCCTGATGCCGCATTCTTCTTCATATAATCCAGTTTCTTGGATTATTTGCCCCGCATACAAACCAAGTAAGTATGATAAAAGGATACAACTGTGGCACATACCTTTCCTGATTTTAAACCTTTCACTATCTACTTGTGTGGTCTGACTGACTCCCTCTTGGTTTATATATAGGTTTGATATGAGCACAATTAAATGTTCTGGAATTCCCATTCTTTGCAATGCTACCCATAGTTATGACCCACACAGTCAAATACTTTTCAGAGTCAATAAAAAAACAAACATCTTCCTGGTATGCTCTGAATTCAGTCAAGATTCATGTGTCATCAGCAATGATATGCCTCATTTCACATCCTCTTCTGAATCTGGCCTGAGTTTCTAGCAGCTCCGTGTTGATGCAGTGCTGCAACTGTTTACTTGCATGTGATATTAATGATACTGTTCAATAATTTCTACATTTTGTTGGGTCACCTTTCTTTGAAGTGGTCACAAATAACTTCTAGTTTGTTGGCCAGGTGGCTGTCTTCCAAATTTCTTGGCATAGACTACTTAATGCTTCCAGTGCAGAATCCGTTTGTTGACACATTGGTATTCCATAAATTCCAGGAGCCTTGTCTTTTACCAGTGCCTTCAGTACCACTTGGACTTCTTCCTTTAGGACCATTGGCTCTGATCATATTCTACCTCCTGAAATGGTTGAACACTGACCACAATCTTTTGGTACAGTGACTGTGGATCCTTCCATCCCTGCATCATTCAATATTTTACCCATGTTGTTGCTGTTAGGTGTCACTGAGTGAGTTCTGACTCATAGCAATCCTGTGTAGATTTCCAAGGCTGTAAATCATTATGGGGACAGAAAGCCTCACCTTTCTCCCAATTTTATCCATAGACGCCTTCAACATTGCAAGTTGAGGCTGGAATTTTTTCTTTTAGCTTGAGAAATGCTGAACACATTCTTCCCTTTTAGTTTTCTAACTCCCAGTTTTTACACATTTCATTATTATCCTTTACTTTGACTTCTTCACTTTTCCTTTGAGTTTTTCTTTTCAGCTCTGACTTTATTTTTTCCAGTCATTTAACTACTCTACATTCAAGAGCAAGTTTCAGAAAGAATCTCTCCTGATACCTACTTTGGTCTTTCCTTTCTTGTGTTTTTAATGACCTTTTATTTTCTTCACGTATGATGTTCTTGATGTCATACCACAACTCCTCTGGTCTTCTGTCAAGCATTCGATGTGTCAAATCTGTTCTTGAGATGGTCTCTAAATTTAGGTGGGACATACTCAAGGTTGTATTTTGGCTCTTGTGTACTTGTTTTCCGTTTTTTCAGCTTAACCCTGAACTTGCATATGAGCAATTGGTGATCTGTTCCACTGTGGGTCCCTGGCCTTGTTTTGGCTGACGATATAGAACTTTTCCACCGTCTCTTCCCACAGATGTAGTCAATTTGATTCCTGTGTAGTCTATCTAGTGAGGTGTGAGGTATGCTTGTATAGTCACCATTTATGTTGTTGAAAAAATGTATTTGCAGTGAACAATTGTTGGTCTTGCAAAATTCTATCATGTGATCGTCAGCAACATTTCTATCATTCATCATGGAGGCCATATTTTCCAAGTGTGGTATGGTGGGTTAAGGTGCTAAACTGCAAAGTTGGCATGAACTGCAAGATCAGCAGTTCAAGCTTACCAGCCGCTCCTTCAAAACCCTATAGAGGGTCGCTATGAGTCAGAACCCATGGCCCTTAACAACAACAGGGTTGTTATGAATCGGAACTTGATGGCACTTAACAACAACAAAATCCCTCCACTTTGTTTCCAACTTTTGCATTCTAATGACTAGCGATTATTAATGCATCTTGACAGCATATTTGATGAATTTCATACTAAAGAAGTTGGTACAATAATTCCTTCATCATTGGCTTTGGTGATTGGTAGGTAAATCTGAGTAAGAGATGTTCCCTGTTATAAGTGCTGTTAAGTCGGTTCCAACCCATAGTGACCTTGTATAGGGTTTCCAAGGAGCAACTGGTGAGCTTGAACTGCCAACCTTGCAGTTCAAACCGACTTTGCAGTCCAACACATTAACCCACAGCGCCACACCAGGTCTTCCTTGTAGGCATATGGATATTATCCTACTACAGACAGTACATAGTAAACATACAATAGTGTCTTCCTTCTTAAAAATGACAGAAGAATGGATGCATTCAAATTGTGCTGTTGGTGATGAGTACCTAATTCGAGCAGACTGTGAGTTATCAGAAGAATGAACACATTAGTCAGAACAAATCAATCAGGACACTTCCTAGAAGCATGGATGAGGAAGCTTTGTCTTGCAATCGCTGTAAAAGGACATTGTGGTTCGTAGAAGGTTAATAAAAGTGAGGGTTTCACTCGGAGATGGACTGACACGGTGGTTGCAGCAATGTGCTCCAATGTTAACAGCAATTGTCGTTCTGGTATACTTAAAGTTGCCAAGAGTTGAAGCCAATTCAATAGCAACTGACAATAGCTTCCTTCAAGCTACGCATTTTGTCCCAAATGACTGAAGTGGCAAGCAGAAAGACGCTTTCTTTTACAAAACGTCTAGCTTTTACTAGTTAGTGGGCCTGTGGCATTTAACATTTTATTGTATCATCTTATCTTTACAAAAGGAGCTCTGGTAGCATAGTGGTTACAAATCAGGCTGTGAACCGCAAGGTCAGCAGTTCGAAACTACCAGCTGTTCCGTGGGAGAAAGATGAAGCTTTATGCTCCTATAAAGATTTACAGCCTCGGAAACCCTGTACAGGGTCGCTATGAGTTGGAACTGACTCCATGGCACACCACCACCACCACCGTCTCCACAAAGAAACGGACAATTCTTTATACTTGGAGCCTATAGCAACTGTCAGGGAATAAGTACAGTGGCAGCATTGCAGACCCCATTGCCCGGTGGGTACAATGAGGCATGAGTAAACCTGGGGGCCTTTGCAGGAGAGAGGAGAGGGAATGAACTCCTACCTCGCTGGCCATGTAGGTGTAGAGAACTTTGCCTTTGATGACAAACCACAGCTTCTTCCAGTGCCTCTTGCCCTTCTTATTCCGGCTGAGATAGCCGCTGATGGCCGAACCCTCTCCAGAGGCAGCCACCTGGTAGGAGGAAAGCAGAATGGGTCAGGGCCCCATGGGATGGGGAAGAGTTCCAACAGAGAAAATGACATTTCAAACTAGCTGTTGGAGCACTTAGACGGCTTTGTAATACGATGCAGGGATATCTCATTTTACTATGCTTCACAAATAATGCAGTTTTTATAAACTGAACGTTTGTGGCAACCAGGTGTTGTTAAGTCTACTGACATCATTTTTCATAACACTATTGCATACTTTAAGTAGCTCTGATACCGTAGTGGTTACAAATTGGGCTGCGAACCGCAAGGTCAGCAGTTCGAAACTACCAGCTGTTCCGCGGGAGAAAGATGAGGCTTTCTGCTCCTGTAGAGATTTACAGCCTCGGAAACTCTGTTCAGGGTCACTGTGGGTTGGAACCAACTTGACGGCACTTAACAACAACAACATTGCATACTTTTAACAGACTACAGCGTAGTGTTAACATAACTTCTGAATATACTGGAAAACCAAAAAAAAATTGTGTGACTCGCTTTATTGTGATATTTGATTTATTGCAATCATCTGGAACAAAACCTGCAACATCCCCAAGTTATGCCTGTATTTTGGAGTCCTGGATGTGGCGCTGTAGTATAAGCACTGGACTGGTAACTGTAAGGTTAGGGTTCAAATCTACCAGTCATTCTTTGGAAATCCTACATAGGGTTGCTGAGTCAGACCAACTTAGCAGCACTTAACAACAACACATGCCTGTATCTGGTTAAAGTCCCATGATCCACCAAGTACCAAAATCAACAAACTAGTACTCCAAAATTCGAAATAGGATTTAACTGAAGATAGTTTTGCAGACAATTGAATCAAAAGCTACCTTCAGAAGTGCTGCCCTCTAGTGGTGTTTGAGACACTTGCTCCCCTTTGGGTCAGCTGCCTTCAGAAAACAGCACACACTTTTGGCAATAGAGTTTTCCTTCTAAAATTGATTTTACATTTCTAGCCTATCTCTTTCTTAAACTTAAGGAAGGATCCTCTTTGTACTATTGGCCTAAAAGGTTTTATGATTTTCTTAAGCAGGGCATGTAAAGCATGAATTCTTTTTATTGTTTTATTTGTATTAGTCTGTGCTACTGGCAGGCTCTGTGGTGGTTAAGAACACAGGCAAGCTACTGAGCGGTGCACACAGTAACACACTCAGCTGCTAACTGAAAGGGTGGGCCTGCAAGTCCACCCACAGGTACCTTAGGAAAAAGGCCTGATCGAGTTCCAAAAAAAATCAGCTATGAAAACCTTAACAGAGCACAGTTCTACTCGGACACACAGGAAGCTGCCATGAGTTGAGGTCCCCTCGACAACCAATGGCTTTCAGAACACAGGTTTGAAGTAATACCCATTTGGGGCTCCAATCAGGCTCTGCCAGTTGCCATTCAGGTAATGTTGGGCAATTTACTTACTTCCTCTCAGTCTCAGTTTACTTACTAGTAAAATAGGAATGAAAAGAGAGTTACAGTGCCCGATGCACCAGTATTTTCCACATATACAAAGAGGCTTCAAAAAGTTCATGGAAAAATCTCATTATCTTTTTTTTTTTT